AAATCTCCGTAGCGTGTTGCCAGGCGGCAGAAAGCATATATATAATTATAATAAAGTTACAATAAATTAAGTTAATATATAATTATATATATGGTACCTAATTTATATATAATTAATATATAATTATATATACAGTACCTAATTTATATATAATACTGTACAGACGATAGTTAAACTCAACTTACCCGCCTAAACTCTCCGTAGCGTGGCGCTACACGGCGGAAAATAGTTCGGCTGCTCGTCCGCGATGACGAGTTGGCGATGACGTTTTACCGCGTTTTACGCGTCCCTTTTAGCGTCTTTGTACGAATACTGAGGCAATTTTTCCGCCGCGTCATAGGAATCTACGTTATTGGAACCCGCGTTATAGGGGGGTCTACTGTAGTCAGGAGCGAATTTCATTCTCTCTATCCGATTTTATCAATTTTGGGTACGTTCAGACACGTGGTAAAGGAGAACAGAAGTTCAAGGTCAGAGAGTCCACCTTCTGCAGAACGACTGTGAGGTCCAGACCGAGTCCGATCCCGTTATTAATCGTCAAATCAATGTAATATCTATGAAAATATATCAAATAGCTTTATGTTTCTTAATCGTAGCGTACCGAAGACATGTTCGAAACGTGACAAAGATCACGCGCACGAGCGTCGTCGATCGCCGCCCAAAAAATCCAACTTCTTGGATCTGAAAAACGTCGAACAGACCGCTTAGTTTCCATCCAAAGGTGTAACGTTGAGTCGATGACCGGGCCAAGATCGAACGTCGCCTCCTATCAGTTTGCGCCGGCCTTTACATCTTTTCACTGGTGACACAGCCTTCAATACAGGAAAATTCGTCAAATAGGAACCCGAATATTATTAGTTGGTAGTAGAAGCCACAGAGGGGCTTCTCGTAATAAGACCCATTGAAATACTGTACTTTCATTTCTAAAGGAAAGCTAAAATAAATACGATAAATTTTTGTTTGTTCGATCTATTTTTACATTCGTAAAATAAACAAATGTTAAAATTCCAGATACGTTTCGATTTGTATCTTAAATTAACACAAAATTTCACCCGGAAATTAATTTAAATTAATTAAATTCGAACTTGTAAAAATTTAAGACGACGTATTTAATTGGTTAAAAAAAAATCAAACGTGAGATAGCATTTTGGTGGAATCGAAAAGCGCCCTCTGCAAATTGTTTTCGTCACGTTTTCGAATTTCTAAACTACGATCGTAAGAGTTATGTGAGTGTTAAATATGGAAAAATCATTTCCTTTGCTGATCTAAATCCCAAGGTGATATATTTAAGCTTTGATTATTATTATTTAAATGCTGTCTGACAAAACTATAGCTTACGTCGGCTGTAACTCCTATGTATTCTAACCTAATTTTCATATGTAACATACATAATATTCTGTGCACTAAATCTTGTCAATATCCTGATTTGGAAGTATGTTATTTTCCTTTTTATTATAATATCCTGATAAGGAAATATGTTCTTCCCTTTCTAGAACAAAATCTAAAGTATTTTGTTCTAGAATTTGAAATTGAAAACCTATTTTCTGTTGTTTATGATTTAAAATTTTTAAGTGTAGTTAAAGGGGATGTTATCTGGTAAAGCAGCTTTACCGGGCAATGCTTCTTGTGTATTCATTTATAAATATTATAATTTTCTGTGTATGAGCGTGTGCCGGTTTCTTTAATATGCGTATTAACGGGATCGACTTCTTTGTATGTAAATTTGTGTAAGAAAATGGGCCGACGTGGTCTCGTTTGGTGCGGAGCGAAACGTGGAAAACGGTGCGTTTGGCCTGCGCGGAAATAAACGTTATTTTCCCTATTGGTTTTGATTCGCTTAAATAGTATGATTTTATGGTGGATTTAATTTCTGTCTTATATCGGAGATCGTCCTTGCTGTGATTTGAGGTGAATAGAAACGCCTCTGTCTAAATGATTATGTAACTCTCGTAATGTTAATGATGTGACCTCATAAGTTTTGTTAAAAAATCGGTCTTATCCTCCTTAACAGCGTTAGGTGATATATGAAGTAATCAAATTTTTTTTGCCCTTTATTTGCTTTTTACCCCACCCATGAGGTGAAAGGAAATAGTAACTTAAAAATTCTGTTTGCTGCTATTTTTACAAACAACTAGAGTGGTGAAAGGAAACTTTTTTTAGTCTGTATTAACTTAGGTACTTAGGTTGCATTTATTCAGATGAGAGAAATGCAAGAGGAAAAAGAAAAACAGGAGGAGAGGGAAAAACCAAGCAAAACAGGATCGTGTGCCTACAGGAATTTCCTTCCTAGTTGCATTCATGCAAAGGTGGAGAGGAAAAGTCTAATGAATTTTACAACAAAATAAAGTTAAAGAAAAATAAAATGAAAAATAAACAAAACAACTCTATTAACATTTTTTTCCTTTTATTTATGCTCATCCTGTGTTATTTTGCAGCTTCTCGGGCCATTTTCTTCACATTCGACAGATTGCTGGTGAGCTCTGTTATCACTGTTTTATTATTGTTGCACAGAAGTGAGGCAGGCTGCTGGGCTAGTGTGCATGCACTAACACAGGAGAGAAGAGAAAGTTCAACACATTGAACTTTTAAAGGAGTTAAAACTGGTACATTTTTTGTACATTACACACAAAAACTCAATTTCTCTCTTCTGCATAAACTACATTGCAAGTGTGAATTCTGATCCCAAATGTTTTCTTTTGCCCATTTTCCCTCTTCTTGCATCTGCATAAGCACAGTCTTAAGCCTTATATTCATTACAGAACTTACACAGAAGGAGAAACAAGCTTTTACAAAAAAATTGATCAAGTGGCTTGGATAATCCAAAAACCTGATTAAATAGATAAAATCGAAAGACCTTTTAAAAAATACCAAAGTCAATGAAGTCATCAGTAAACTCTTTATCATTTTGAAGTAAGATAAAGAGCTGATAATGGGGGCAAAGAGTTTCGTAACAAAATCCCATACATGATGTAAGGGATTTTTGAAAACCTTACTGTAGTCTTCTGTAGAAGAACACAGCATAATTGTCCTCATCAATTTGACAGACTTTGGCAACATAGTCTGCTGGCTTCCTTTTTCTTTCCATACACCACAGAGAAGTTTAAGAGAATTGTTCTCTCTGAAACAAATTAAGACCAATATAGAAACATAAAGCTTTAAATTTAAATCGCTGATTGAAAAAAGTTGAAAAAATGAATATAAACATCCCATTTTTGTTGTGTTTTTATGTATCTCACAAATTCAAAATCATTACATCACAAAAAGATCAATGATTTTAAAAAAGCTTTTGAAATATGAACTGTTTCAATGAAAACCTAATGAAATGATATGAAGATAATATTCAAACACAATTTTTTAATAAAGTGAATCTTATAATATGACACTTGTCAACAAAATTTGCACTTATCCAACCACCTAATGTGCAAACAAGACTGGCATCTAGAACAGTGTGCCAGTCTAACAAAACATAATGTCCTTTGAAAAATAATGTCCAAAACAATGGCATTGAGAAATTTCTGATTTATTTGTTAGTTTCTTTGTCAGGTACAAACAAAATTTTTTTTAAGTTTTATTTCTAGTAATTGAGCAAAATAATCAAAAGGGATTATGATTGACACTTGGTGAGATGTTCTAATCCAAAATTTATCTTTTATCTCGTTTGATTAGGTCAAATACACCTAAAAATTAGTTCTGTCTTTTTAAATTATCTTAATTGCCCTCAACAGAAACTTGAAAATCTGTGTATTGGGTGTTCTAGATAAGTAATAGACCCCAAAAAAATAAACCAAATTTTTGACTGCATTTGCATTCAAACGTTTTCTCGGATGTGTCAATACTTGTTTGACAAGCAGTGGATATGTAAAGCATGATGAATTACAGCAAAAAATGTCAAACTATTGGAGTATGTAGGAATTTGCCTTCAGAATCAGGACTGTGGAGTTGTTGGTAAAACTGGGCTGACTCATATATCTAATAAAAGTAAATTGTAGTATAAATAATACGTATAAAATTTCTTATTTCACAGATAATTTGATTAACCTACTTTTCAGGTTATATTTTATATTCAAATAATACTTTAATCTTGAAAAAGAAGAACTAATAGAGAAAGTCACAAACAGTCAATAAGCTTTAATCTTACTGAGTGTTTGTAATTTATTTAATAAATAAAACCACAATGACTTAACTGTAACCTTTACTCTTATAAGTATAGACAAACTTTAACAAGTTAGGGTTCTAAAAAGTAGGCTAATGATTTAAGCTGAGTGATGATTGTACACATTGTGTTGCCTTGTACAAATTGTTTCATTTATCATGGATGGGCAATGTGTGATATTCAGTTGTTGCTTTAAAAGTTTTAAAAAGATTCATTAACAATCTGTTCTCCCTAATTATATAGACTGGTCCTGCTACTCTGCATTAAAATCCATTAAAATATTTGATATTTTTATTCCACTCTCCAATTTTATATTACTCACGGATTTCAATGTTAAACCAGTGATATTACGATTTCGTATATCCCATCTTTAAGGGGATGTAGAAAAAAACGTGTACAATTCTTGTATAATGTTAAAAAAATTAACTATTACTTCGACATCATCATTTACAACTAAATTTAATGAATGAGAGAGATGCACGAGGTGCAGAAAAAGCTCTAGAATTTATTTTCCTTAAATTTATGATTTACCATAAGTATCCGTTGTCATAAAAATTTGTCTTTCCACTTTTTTTTCCGAGACTACAAATATTTGAGTACAAAGTAAACGGTTTCGACTTATTTCTACTTAAAAAGTAGTTAAATAATTAAGCGATTAGGGAATTGGGGACATAAACAAAACCCTGATGAAAGAGCCGGAATATTACTTAAACAAAAGCTTAACCGAACCAATCTATAGCCGAGTACAGTGGGGACTGATTTCTTCGAAATACTGTATTAGATGTAATAAAGACAGAAATTTTTCCAGTTCGACGAGAGTGACCGAAAAGTTGTAAATTTTGGAAATTTCCGTGGACAACACCTGGTCCTAAAACGAATTAGTTAGAAAACAAAAGACGGACAATCTATTAAGTTTAACATATTTAGATTTTTACAGCTATGGTGAGAAACGTTTAAAATCTACAACAGCCCTGTCGCGTCCTTTGAGATATACTAATGATGCGACAAAAGAGGTATTTGCATTGACCGGTATCGGCACCCTGGGGATTTGGCAGTCCGCGTGTATGCACACTCTGCAACCGTTTTCGATTCCATCCATTAGCCACTTGTAGGGAGCTATTTGACTAAGTGCATTGTTTTAAGATTTAAAAAGTAAAGAATATTTTATATTTTTATGTATGTTTCTTTACAAAGCTATATTTAATTATAATTTTCTTTAAAAGTATATTCATACAATTGAAGAATATTTTGTACCAGGTATGTACCGGTACATCCACCACACATTTTATTTCACCAAGTAAGTTTTTATTATTTTATTTTTAATTGTAGCCCTTATATCATGGTTAGCGATTCGGAATGTAATTGTGATATTAAAAATGCATTTAGAGAAGTCCACGGTTTTTTACTGGCTTATTGAATAAACAATATGAATGGACCCTAGACCATCACTGACGCGCAATTGACTGATTGCCCCTGGATGTCGGCTTCGTACAGAAACACAGCTTCCCTATCATCAAATGTCACAGCATGCCACTGCATGCCACTGCAATGGAGTCATAGTTATTGTATAGAGTGACTTTACAACCCTGATCAGAATTCAGGAACAATACATCATTGCTTGTGATGTATCATTAAATAAGTACACAAGTATATTAATGGCATAAGCATTTCAAAGGACATATATCAACAGAATACTCTCATCCAAGTAGACTATCTTCAACAAGAAATTAAGGAATGATTTCCTGAGTTTTGCAAACAGCTCAATAGAGACTATAGATAATCAATAGGTCATCTGGCCAACAATTTGGAAATTTTGCATAGCTATTTACAAGCCATTGTTCACAATGATTTGAAAATGCCTTTATTCTCAGTTCTCTTGAGGAAGTTAACAGATGAGCAACGTGAAAAACATCAGTGATGAAACCTGATGTTTTTCAAAAAATTCACAGAGCAAATGTGCTTCAATGTCATGAAAATTAGCATCCATGCCAAAGTAGAAAAGTTTTGTCTTAACATATCCAGAGAAAGATATTATTTTTGGCTTTCTTGATATGAAAGCTTGATATATTAAAAGTTTGTTTCCAATGGTAGAGCAATTAACAAGGAATCCTACATTGACATTCT